TGAGGGCCCGCCAGGGCACGTGAGTGGCGGGCAGGTGGAGGGCCCCGCTGCCGCCAGGAAAGCTGTCGGCCACGTGGCAGGAGCCGGCCCTAACGCGGGGGCTCTCGCACTTGCACCAACTCCACAGAAAGAGCAGGATTTCTTCCCTCCTTTAGGCAGCACCAACATAACCGGGCCATTAGTGACAAGCGGAGATGGACAAAAGGAAAGCAGCTTTTTAGGAGTGTTAATTCCCCTCTTGCTAACCCTAACCCTCCCCTGTTCCCCTTGAGGGTCTACCCATCCAGCAGCCCTCGCACCCGCCTCGTGCTGAAACACGGAGATCCCCGATCTGCCCCCTGGAGCCCCCCCAGCTCTCACACCCAGAGACGGAGGCCAAAGATGACGAGGACGATGGGCGCATGGGTCATGCCAACTTTAATAGACAGGCTCAACGGTGCCCCAGGGGGAGCGCACACACCCCGCAGGAGCTGCAGGGCACATGGCGAGAGCTGGGCAGGGAGGCAGGCACAAGGCTTTGATTCGCAGCGGTTTGCAGGCACACACGGAGGGGGAATGCGCGTGGGCGGCAGCGCTGCAGGGCCGCAGCGCCGTGCGCTGTGGGGACGGCCACTGCTCAGGCCATCTGGCCACCTCGCGGCTCCCACGGCAGCTTCCTCAGCGGGGAGCCTGTTTCTTCCTCCTGACCAAAGCAGAAAGGGAGAATGGGATGAAGTGAGGTTGCCGTCCCGGGGGCCAGTGATGGCCCCAGAGGGGACATTCCTGGCTGGGGAGCCAAGGGGGCAAACTTACACACTGGGAAGGTCCCGCAGGAGTTTCCTCACCCAGGGGGTGTCAGGCTGCACGCACACTCTCTTGCGGGTTTTTAACACGATGCTGGAAAAGAAGCCGGGTTGGCAGCGCTGTGAGGGGAACTGAGGCAGTGGCCGTGGAATTGGAGGGTCGAACGGCCAAGGCCAAGGCCAGCACAGCCCCATCGCCACTTACACGCCCTCCCGGCGCCGGCAGCTGCTCCCCATCGGCCTCACCTCGACGCTCTCGTAGAGCCGCGGCGCGATGAAGGCGCTCGTGGTCTTGGCGCAGCGGCAGCTCAGGTTGCCGTTGGCTTCCAGCAGCCCTGGGGGCACAGCGGGGGCTACGGCCCATGCCTCCAAACCCACTCGTCCCCCCTGGCCACATGCACCCCAAGCCCCTCTCTAGAGGGTCCCTCCACCAGCTCCCTCCCAGGGAATAAAGGAAAAAAGGGTCTGGAAAGAGAAGAAATGGGTGGATCAAGGCAAAAAAGGCAGGGCCCCCTCACCTGCGTCAGTGGGGCGGTGGGCACCCAGCAGCAGCCAGAGCAGCAGGGCTGCCCAGCACGCCATGCCGGCCCCGCGCGCCAGCCGTGCTCCAGGCAGGAAGCAGCGAGGCCCTGGGAGCCGCTGGCACCTATTTGAGCAGGGCAATAGGAGAAGTGAAGCCGCGGCTTCCCCCAGCTCCCGCACCCCGGCACTGCCTGCACGGGGTTTTTGCCCGGCTCCCTTCCCCGCTGGAGGCGGCTGCTGAGCCGTGAAAACCGGCTCCGGACTCCGGTTCCTTAAACCGCATCTGCTTGGCCCTTCCTGAGCCGCCCATTCTTGTAAAGGCAGTGGCTCTTCCCGCTGACGGTTCTTCTTAGCCTGCACTACCGTCAAATCTTGAGGTTTATGGCTTTTTTCCCTTTTTTTTTTTTTTTTTTTTAACAGATATAACTCATTTCAATATAGCTGCTATCGTTGAGTCAGCTCAGGCCACTCCACGTGGCTGGTGCTTCACGCTATCCCAGGCACTCAGACACTCATTTCATACGTGTTTATATTGTGTGTGTGCGTGTGTGTGTGTGTGGGTGTGTGTGTGTGTGGGTGTGTGTGTGTGTGGGTGTGTGTGTGTGTGGGTGTGTGTGTGTGTGTACACGTTGCCGCCCTCTACTCTCGGGCTCTTTGAGGCCAGGGTGGTGCCAGGCCATGAAGCACTGCTCTAGGACAGAAGCCCTCAGGGAAGTGCCTGCTGGTGCCTCCTTGGAAAAGGGGATTTTGCTGCACGGCCCGGAGACGTGCACGCGAGGCTGCCGACACACCTGTCAGGGTCCCACAGCACTAAGTGCAGTGAGTACTTCCCCATTTCATGCTTGATACCTTGGCGGACACATCCCACGGTCACATTTCCCTTTCGCGGGGCGCACCTCGGTCCCAGCTTTGGGGATATACTTGCTGTTGCCGTTTGGCCCATGGCCAGACAAATTCGCCAAGCACCTCCTGGCTCCCGCTCTTCTGAGTTTTGTCAAAACAACCTTCTAGGCAAGACCCAACAAAACTCTGAGAGGAAAAGAAATACAGATTTTATTCAGCTTGAGTATCCAGGGCTTGACAGGCAGTGGCATGTAATAAAAAAATAGGATGTGTGGCCTGTTCACGAGTGTTTCACACTGAAGGCTTGGGAAATCTGTCCCCACGGAGACAGGAACAGCCCTTGCGAGGGAATGTGGCCCAGGTGCCTAAATGAAGGGTCAGCGCTCACGCGGCTCCACTACCCAGTGCTAGGGAAAACGCGCCCAGAGAGGGCTGCAGGGCTTGGTGGGCACGGAGGGGGGCAGCCCTGGGCCTTTGGGGATGTTTTGGGGGGGAAGCAATGGCCAAACCCGGAGCCGTCAGGTCTTCATGCTCGTGTGGCCGCCTCGAGGCTCTGGACAGCAACTTCCTTAGCAGGAAACTCACTTTTTCTTTCTGCAGAAAGCAGAAGGAGGGGAAACGTGTAAAGGCGCAGAGTGCGGCCCGGGGGGAGGAAGCGTCTGTGCGGAGCCGGGGAAGCGGCCGCTCTTTCCCCGGGCGCAAGTGATGCGCCACGTCCCGCTAAAAATACTCACGTGCCAGCGATACGCTTCAGTAGCTTCTTTACCCAAAGGGCCTCAGGATTCACGCACACCTTTGAGAAGGTTTTTAACTTAATTCTGAAACAGAAGCAGAGTTTGTGACCGTTACTCCCAAGGTGGGTACGTGAGCAGCCGGAGCGGATCTGTGAGCAACAGCTTTCTCCTGCCCTGCAGTGGGTTAGGAGCAGGGGGGATGTCACAGAAAGGTGCTTGGGAGGCAACAGGACAGCGCAGAAAGAGTTAAAAACAAGATGCAAAATCCCTGTGCCCAGCAAAGACTGCCACCCAAAGGCAGTTTTCTCTGCAGATTTACACATGTGAAGCTGTTAGCAAAGCCCGAGCAAGGGCAGTGCATCCATGGCTCTCCCATCGGAACCAACAGACAGAGAAAACTAGTGCCAGAAAGCAAAAGCAAAAGTTGGTAATTTAATGCGCTGCCACTTAACATGCTGCTTTAGTTAAGACAAAAGTAAGGAGATCAGGACTTGCACCGAAATGCTGCCTGCTCTCGGCAGTGCTGTATATTGGAAGGGGAAAAAATGGGTCTTGGGTACGATTCCTACCTAGGCACCTGAGGAGGCGCTTCCTTCAGACTGCAAATGCCACTACTGAGGAAAGAGGCTTTCCAATACTGGAAAGGTCTACCCACATCGTCAGCACCTCATTTCTGGGCTACAATTTTGGAGGGACCAAAGGAGGTAGGAGGCAGGTGGCATTTCCTGGGTCTGGATGGGCTGAAAGCGCCCCCAGAGCGCTCTCCGGGGACAGCATCACCCTTCTGCTCCCCATGCCCCAGTTGCCAAATTGGGGCATTTTTTTTTCCATAGAAGAAGAAAGGGAAGCAGGGCAGTGCAGCAGCGGGGAGCAGGAGGGCAGCGCCGCCTCCCGCGCCGCGAGCCCCGCTCGCACTCACATGATCTCCATGCGCCTGCAGGTGCTCCCCACGGGTCTGATCTCGATGCTCTCGTACCGCTTCGGGCTGATGTACTCGGAGGTCGTCTTGACACACCTGCAGCTCAGGTTGCCGTTCATTTCCAGGATGGCTGGCAAAGAGAAAAGGCGATGGCTTACGCAGGCAGTCGGCAGCATTTATAGATGTAGCAGACAAAATCTTCCCCTTTCTTGTGCTTTTTTTTTAAAAAAAAAAAAAAAAAAAGGGTCTCGTGGGCAAGTGCAAGAAAAAGTTAGCACCAACTGCACTTCTGTGCCTTGCCCTGCAAGATACCCTCTGATCAGCAGCTGGTTTGTGCAAATCCTGCTTTTAATTCCCATCTCCAGCCCGCGGGCAGCTCACCTGCGTTGGCCGAGAGAGACGCCAGCAGGAGGAGGAGGAGGCAGGCGAGCGGGAGGCAGCCCAGTCCCATCCTTGCTGCACCCGCGCGCCGGGGCCGCTCTGCGGGGCTGCCCGGGCAGAGGCTTCTATATATTCGGGGAGGTCGGCGAGGCGGCCCAGCCAGATGGGAGCGCGAGCGGTCACAGCTGACAGGCAGCCCGTGACAAGCCCTGACTTTGCTCGGGG